ACTGCCTGTCTCCATCCACAATAAACAGATAAAGAAATATAGAGCCACTATATCTCCATTTAGCCTTTCTGCTAAGTGATAGCTTTATCTTAGAACTTAAAAGTTTGTCTTAGAAAGATTTTGTAACTGTTTGCTCACATAGATAATTATCTCTAGAAGCTTTTTGGGAGACTTTTTAACCTAAAACAAACTACCTGTTATTAAATAAATCTGTTATCCCTGGCAATCGATCACTGTACCAATAAATACCCATGTGAAACTTTACTCGGGGCCTCACAGCTCATGGGAATGCTGGGGGGGGGTCTCCCGATCCCCCAACTTTTATAAAATCTATACTTTATAAAACTGTACCTTCGTCTCTGTATATTCTTTTATTTCTATATTCTATTATTTTCTATTATTTCCTTATCCTTTGCGACGACCCCTGCCTAAAGGACCCGATTTTTTGCTGGGAGTGTAGTTAACTCCCTGCACTAACTGGCTTGTATGGAACACTCCACCCCAAGGCTACACAATACATTCTTCTCTAGTGCACACGGAACATCCTCCAGGATAGATCATCTGCTAGGCTGTAATATGAGTCTCAATAAATTTAAAATGATCAGTCATACAAAATATATTCCATGACCACAATGAAGTTAAGTTAGAAATTAACAACAGGAAGAAATAGGAGAAATCTCTAAATATTTGGAAATTAAACCATACATTTCTAAATAATCCACAGGCCAAAGAAGAAATTATCAAGGAAATTAGAAAATATTCTGAAATGAGTAAAAATGAAAACATAACACATCGAAATTTATGGGATGTGGCCAATGCAGTGCTTAATGAGAAATTCATAGCTTTAAACAACTATACTGGAAAAGAAAGGTCTCCAATAAAACCCAAGCTTTCACCTTAAGAAACTAAAAAAGAAGAAATTAAAACATAAATCATGGAGAAGAAAGGAAATAATAAAGATCAGAACAGAAAAAAAAAAACCAGAAAACAGAAAAATAGAGAAAAATCAATGAAACCCAAAGTTGGTTCTTTGAAAAGATCAACAAAATTGACAAACCTGTAGCTAGACTGACCAAGAAAAAAAGAGGGAAGACACAAGTCACCAGAACCAAGAATGAAAGATGGGTTATTCACTAACTGCCTTAGAAGATTAATATTTGCTGTAAGCAAATATTATGAACTTTACGCCAACAAATTAGACAACTTAGATGAAACAGAAAAATTCCTTGATAGACCCATGTTACCAAACTGACTCAACAAGTAAAGAATTGAATTAGTAAACATTTAAAACTTCCCCAAAAAGGAAAGTCCAGATGGCTTCACTGAATTCAGATGCATTCTATCAAATATCAAATAAAAACATACTGATCTTTCAAAAACTTTTTCAGAAAGTAGAAGAGGGAAGCACACTTCTCAAGTGACTCTATAAGGTAAGCGGTACTCTCCTAACTAAGACAAAGACATCACGAGAAAACTGCAGACCAGGATCCCTCATATACATGGATGCAACAATCCTCACCAGAGTATTAACACACAGAATGTGGCAATATATAAAAGGGATTATACAGCACGATCAAATGGGATTTATCACAGGAATGCAAAGTTGGTTTAAGATCTGAAAATTAATGTAATGTAATGAAAATTCATGTGATGTAATAAAATAAAGGACAAAACCCACATAATCATCTCAATAGATACAGAAAAAGCACCTGACAAATGCCAACACCTGTTCACACTAAAACCTCTAAACAAATCAGGAACAGAAGGAAACGTTGTCATCAGGATAAAGGGTACCTTTATCCCTAATGAAGAAAGACCGAATGATTTTTGTCCTAAGACTGGGAGCAAGGCAAGGGACCCACTCTTGCTGCTTCTGTTTAACACTGTACTGGAGGTACTAGCTAATGCAATAAGGAAAAAAATATAACTAAAGGCTCCTAGATTGCAAAGTAAGAAGCAAAACTGTCCTTATGCACAGATGATATAAGCCTGTGCGAAAAAAATCCTGAGGACTCTACACACACACACACACACACACACACACACACACACACACACACACACCCTAAAGCGTGCTCCTTTATCTGAGGTTCCACTTTCTGTGGTTTCAGTTCCTTGCGATTAACCACAATCTGAAAACACTACATACAATGCTTTGAGAAAAAGAGAGACCACATTCACGTAACTTTTACTATGGTATATATTGTTATAATTGTTCTCTTTTATTATTAGTTATTATTGTACCCAATTTATAATTAAACTTTATCACAGGGGTGTGTGTGTGTGTGTATGAAAAAACATAAATATAGGGTATCATCCATGGTTTGGGGCATCCACTGGGGGTCTTGGAATATGCCCCCTGTGCATAAGGGAGGATTGTTGTACAAAAACTAATAAAGGAAGGCTGGGTGCGGTGGCTCACGCCTGTAATCCTAGCACTCTGGGAGGCCGAGGTGGGCAGATCGCTCAAGGTTAGGAGTTCAAAACCAGCCTGAGTGAGACCCCGTCTCTACCATAAAAATAGAAAGAAATTAATTGGCCAGCTAATATATATAATATAAAAATCAGCCGGGCCTGGTGGCTCGTGCCTGTAGTCCCAGCTACTCGGGAGGCTGGGGCAGGAGGATCGCTTGAGCCCAGGAGTTTGAGGTTGCTGTGAGCTAGGCTGACACCGAGGCACTCACTCTAACCTAGGCAAGAAAGCGAGATTCTGTCTCAAAAAAAAAAAAAAAAAACTAATAAAAGAACTTAGAAAGATCATAAGGTATAAGATCCATGTACAAAATTCAATTATATCTATATATATTAGCAACCAACAATTGGAAAATAAAATTCATAAAATAATTCCATACACAAGGGCATAATAATTTAATTAGAAATGAGTTTAATCAAGGAAGTGTAAGATGTGTATATCAAAAACTATAAGAAAAATTAAAGAAGATCTAAATAAATAGAGAGACATTCCTTGTTCATGGCTTAGAAAACTCAATGTTGTCAAGGTGGCAATTTTCCCCATATGGATCTATAAATTCAACATAATCCCATAATCCTGGTAGGCTTTTTAAAATTAGAAATTGACAAGATGATCCTAAAATTTATATATAGTAAGGACTTAAGATAGCCAAAACAATTTTGAAAAAAAGTAAAGTTGGAGGAGTTACCCTACTAAATTTGAAAACTTACTCTAAAGTCATAGTAATCAAGACTGTATGATATTGGTACAAAGATAAACATAGGTGAAGGGGACAGAACTTCATTTTGGAGCATTTGGAAATAAGCATTTACATTTATAATCAATTGATTTTTGATAAAAGGCTCAAAGTAATTCAACAGGGAAATGGTTTCAACAGAAGGGGCTAGGACAACTAGATATCTATATGCAGAACAAATAAACTCAGACTCTTACCTCACACTGTGCAAAAGAATTAACTCTTGTGTACTCTTGTAACTCTTCTGTAATTAAGTCAAAATGGATCATGGACCTAAATGTAAGGGCTAAAACAATAACCTTCTAAAAGAAAGCGTAAGAGAAAATCTTTATGATCTTGGGTATGACACCAAAAGCATGATCCACAAAAGAAAAAACTGATAAACTGGACTTCATCAAAATTAAAACATTTGTGTTTCAAAAGACCCCATTAAGAAAGGAAAACAGAAGCCATAATGGTAAAAATATATTTGCAAATCACATATCTGTAAAGAACTTAAATAGAGAATATATAAAAAGCTCTTCCAACTCAATAGTAAGATGAACCCAATTAAAAAATGGGCAAAACATGTGAATAGATATTTTTCCAAAGAAGATATAGCAATGACTAACAGGCACATGAAAAAATGCTCAATGTCAACAGCTGTTAGGGAAATGCCAATCAAAACCACAGTGAGACACCATCACACCCCTATCAGAATGGCTACAATAAAGACAGACAATGACAAGTGTTGGTGAGGATGCGGAGATTCTAGAACCCTTATCCATAGCTGGTGATAATACACAACAGTACAGCCCCTTGAAAAACAGTTTAGCAGTTTCATAAAATGTTAAAACATACATTTACCATACAATCCATCAATTCTACTCCTAGGAATTTACCCAAGAGAAATGAAAACATGTCTACAAAAAGACATATATATATGAATGTTCACAGCATTATTCTTAAGAGTCAAAAACCAGAACCAACCCAAATCCATCATTAACTGATGGATGGATAAGCAAAACGTGGCATTTATCCATAAAGTGCAATACTATCCGGCATTTAAAAAGCAATAAACTACTGCTACATGCACAGTAACACAGATTAATCTCAAAAACATTATTCTAAATGAAAGAACAGATGCAACAGACTACATATTATATGATTCCATTTAAATATGTCTAGAAAAGGCAATTTATAGAGACCAGAAGCAGATCAGTGGTTGCTGGGATGGGGGTAGGGGCGGAGGTGAACTGCTAACGGGCATGGGGGGAACCTTTTGGGGTCATGGGAAGGTGCTAAAACTGGACTGTGGTGATGGCTATACAGCTCTACAAATTTACTATGAATCACTCGATCGTACATTTATAAGGGTTAATTATTGTATGTAAATTATACCTCAATAAAGCTGTTAAAAAAGAGTCCTCATCCGTCTGAGATGCATAAATACTAACAGACGATACGATGTCTGGAACTGCTTCAAAATAACACGGGACAGGCTAAGAGTTGGGCGCTGGTGAAGCTGGCTGATGAGAGTGCGAGGGTTCGGCGTGCTATGCTGTCTAATTTTGTCTATGCCTGAAATTTCCCGTGACACAAAATCAGGAAACACACAGGTACAGTGACCCAAGGCAGAGAAGAGGACCCCCAAATGCCACTATTATTAGTGTAATTGCACAAATTTAATTTAAATTGCACTAATTTAAATTGCACGCTGAGGAGGTTTGTGAAATTTTTTCTTTAAAGACATCTACCCAGGATGTCATCACTCCGTAGGAGTTTGAGAGTAGTGAGCGCTTGTGTTCTGACCTGGGGAGTACCGCATCACAGAGAGCTGCTCGTTTCCGTCTGTGTGGACGGTGACCAAGTCTTTTGTTTCCGTGTCAAACACAAACCACCTGTCATAAACACGAGGAAAAGCGGAGTAAGTCGTTCAGTGAGAAAAAGACTATTACAACTACTAAAATTATTAATCATAATGGCTTGATAAAAACTCTGCATTTGCTTAACAAGAAAGCTTATTATTCCTAGCTTTTATTGAAAGAAAATTTCCTCTATGTAAACATTCCCTAAAGAAAAGAATGGCACGCTGGCTACCATTCAAGGCGATTCCATTATCAACACCATGCCGTGGTTTCTCCGTGTTTGTGTCTTGTCGTTCACACGCAGCAGAAGAGACACCCTGGCAGGGAAGAGACTGCCAACACCCGGTGCCGAGTCCGCGGCCAGAGGCGGTGGCAGCAAAGGACGGTCAGCAAAAGCTCTCCAGACCCAACACAGGGCAGAGCAGGGCTGGTCTGGGAGGACGGGGCTGGGACAGCTCAGGGTGGCGATGTTCGGAATCGCACTGCACAAGCAGAGGTGGGCCGAGAGTCTAGACCTTACGCGACTGATAGTGTGCAACCAACACGGTGGAAGTTTCTTGAGATATACGGGCAGAGAGAATGGGAGAAAGGTGAGCAGAGGACTGGTCTCTGAGTTTAACCTCTCTGGGCCCAGTTTCCTCAATTGTAAATGGGATGAGTCCAGCTATGCAACTTGGTGAGCCAAATGTTAAAGCCACTTTATAAGGGATGTGGAAGCGCTCTGCATCTTCTGATAAGGTCACAGCACTCACTCAACGTTTGTGACTCTCGGAATGACTGAGCTCCCTGTCCGTCGCATTCTCAGAGGTGGCAGTAAGTTGCCCCTGGTGCTTTTAAGGATAAGGCGGAACGCGAGCTCCCTGCTACTGCAGTTTCAAATGTGGATGACACACATCTCATCACCTGTCCTCTGGGGTCTTCTCACCTCCCACACACGCCCTCACTGTCACCACGCACTGGTGACGGTCCTGCCCCAGTGAAATTTGGATTTTGCTTCTCAGCATTGATTTCTTGCATCTTCAACAAACATTTACCTTTAACATGCTATTTAACCTTAATAGAGGCCAAAATAAAGGATTCTGGCCTCTCTTGTAACAAAGAGAGACCAGGACTGACAAGAATATTCCTTCCAATGGTCCTGTTAAATCAACAGCAGCAGCCTGCTAAGCCCAGCCCTAAGCCTGGCCCTAGATCTGCGATGTAGGAGTCATAGACCAGGGTGGTGGGGGGACGGGGGAGGCTGCAAGAGCCGTCTCTGCCATCCCAGGGCACTGTGTGATTCTGCGCACTGCCACCGTGTCCTACCACATGCCGTAGATACGGCCACAGCTGTCAGAAGGTTGGGGTCCTGATGAGTTAGAAGCTTCAGCTGTCTCAAAGAGATTTAAACAGAAGGTGGAGTAGCGTGTGTGTGTGTGTGGGGGGGGCTATGCAAGCATTTCCATGAAGAATCCTGTTGGCTATGTGGAGCCCAACTTTTAAGCTATTGCAACCTATCACGGTTACTCTTTCTTCATACATACATACTCTTCATGACAACAGAGTCCAAGTGGTACGCTTTTTAGAAAGGAAGGAAGGGAGGAAAAATATCTGACTGAAACCACAGTAAATGTGTACACGATGACAAACATGAAGGCACAATCAAAACTTGTAAAACCGTGATAATAACCCCGCTGTCACCTGCCAGGCGACCCCAGCCGATGCTCTACACATATCATCTCCTTCAGTCACAGCCAGGCGGGTAACAGTGTCATCATTTACAGGAAAAGGACCAGATTCAGAGAGTTTACGTAACTGGCTTAAAGACACGCTGCCGCTAAGTGGCCGAGCAGACTGGAACGCAGATGGGCGTACCAGAGGTGCCAGGTAAATACCAGCTAGATCGGAATGTGAGGCTCGCGGTCTGGGCAGTCTCTAAAATTTCGAAAGGCCAGTTAGAAAAACCATTTTTAAATGTTCTGCATTTTGAAACGCTTTCTCCTCCAATTCCAAAGTCGAGGGTCCTCCTCCCACGGCCCCAAGATGAGGGCAGGGAGCTCCACGAACCTCTGAGACTGTGGGGTGGGGGCTGGAGGGAGAGAGAGACTGGTGGGGGCTCTGGGGCGATTTTCTACAGAGAAGGTCCATAGCTTTCCTCAGATTTTCCCAAGGTTCAAAATGTAACGGACCACTGTTTTAAGTTTTGCTCCTGAGTTTTGACGTAACTCTTGGGAAGTCACGTCCCCGGGGAAACGCAAACCACGAGCCTCTCTGTTTTCCGCGCGCGCTCACAGCACAGGCCGTGCCGGCGTGGACTTACCTGCCTGTGAGTGTTCCAACCGCAACCACAGACCCTGAAGGATGAAAACCAGAAGACTGAGCTGGATCCTAAAATATTTTAAAGGAAGTGTAAATTGATGGACAGATACAGCACCATCGCATAAAACACACACACACACACACACACACACCCCACACACCACACACCCCACACACACACACACACACACCACACACACAGCCCCAACTCCTCAGGGCTATCTGGCTCTATTTAAAAATGCTTTTTCTCTCCAGAGAGAAAAATGTTTTCCTGCCTGAATGAATGCCATGTTTAAATGACGCTAAATTGTTATCCCTTTAGAATGTTTGTCTTTTGTCCTATTTCCTTTCCTATCTGGAGTAATCAGATGAAAGACAAACAGGTAAATACTCTTCTTCCAAGTTACAGCTCACAGGCCCGGCCCCTCGGCTGAGCCCGTGCGGAAGGGTGAGCGGCCGGCCGGCGTGCTCAGCTGTCTGGAGATGCCTCTGTGGCGCCCGAGTGCATCACGCAGATACTGGGTGAGTGGCCGCTGGGTGCAGACAATGGGGCAGCCCTGGAAGGGTCACGAGAAGAGCGAGGCACATCCTGGGCTCTGACCTGGTTGTGCATATGCAGGTTGGTTACTAACGCTGATACAAGATGGCAGAGGTGAAAACACAAGGCGCTGGGAAGCCACTGGGGAGGGAGAGATGAAGTCGCATTGGGAAGCTGGGCCAGGGCTCCATGGTGCAGAGAGCACAAGACCTGGGTCTTCCAGTGGAGGCAGAATTATCACTGGTGGATGTGAGAAGTGGGCACGCCAATAGTTTCTTGGATCAGGAGTTAAGGAGACAACGGCATGATCAAAGTGGTGGAAGCAACACATTCTGGGCATGTTTGAGGAATGGCGGGTGGTCGGTGGTTTATGGCACAGACTGTGTAGCATGGTGACACACAGGGGGGTCGTGGTGACACTAGTGATGCAGGCTGCATCACCATGTTGAGGACTTTGATCGCTAGGAAGTAACACCGTGAATGATTGTTTCTTTCAATAAAATGAGTGACATGACTGAATCTGTCTTGCAGAAGATCATTTGGACGGAGTGTTTAGGATAGACTGGAGTGAGAAGAGATTAATCACACGAAGATCAGGGAAAAAGCAGGGATGGGAACGAAAACAGGAGGCGTTAACATACTGCTGGATAAACTAAGACATACAAAAGGCCAGAAGGAAACTTCAGATACGTGACTGCACCACTTTAACGCTTTCTCTGAAGTGGGAGCTGTAATTAAGCTCAGGACTGCCACCGACAGAAACCACGTTCACTCGCAGCGTTACCACTTGCAGAGCAGTTTTGCATATATAATTCATCTGAGCCTCAGAACAATTTGAGATGAAGACCCAGGCACAGAGAGGTTAAGTGTCCCTGTCCAAAGTCGCTTGGCCAGCAGGCAGTGGAGATGGAACTTAACTGGCCACCAGTTTGAGCCCCTACCCTATGTCACACCGGGGAGGTGGCAGCCTGGAAACTGTCCTCCTGGACCACCAGGACACAGGTACAACACAGAACACCATTTCCTGTAGCGGTTTCCTGCCATCTCGGGCCACACCGCTCTCTTCTCCAAGTGGCAGTGCTGCCCCCAGCCCTTCCCTCGCAGTGCTTAGCTGCCTGCCGGGGACTGGCAGCCCTTGGCGCACCCGCTCTGCAAGTGAAGGGGGGAGAGCCCAAGCTCGGGCCCAGCCGTGGGACACACCAGTAACCCTAGGGGGATGAAGGGATGTCGTGTGTGGTCTACAGAGAGGCTATTTCCTTCAATGGGGCTGTACATGCCTTTGCGGGCACAGGCAACAGAGAACGTGCTTTGGGTTCACTGCAGTGTGAAGCAGCGGGAGGAACCTGTGTTGGGAGCCAGAATGAGCCAGGTGTAAACACGGGCTAGGTCCCTTACTAACTTAGTGACCTCAGCAAGTTATTTAACTTCTCTAAGCCTCAACTTCCTAATCAGTAAAATCGGGGTGAAAAAGAAAAACTTCCACCTGCAGGGCTGCTGCAGGATTAAGGATGATACACGCACAGCGGCTGGCATGTAAGTGTCAGTGCTGAAGAAACACACGACCGTCCTACTTACAGGGAAAGGGTATTTCAACCCTCTGGTACACAAGCTGAGTTCCTTTTGCAACATTCACAAAGATGAAGACTTTAAAACACAAGCTTTACCTCTACCATCAAACTCAAAATGTAGAGATAAATTAAATTGTATGTTTTCAGTACAGCTTGTAAACTCTCATGCACACGGTCCATTGTAAATAGAACACAGGCTTATAACAAGTATTTCGCAGCATTTAAGCCAGTTAAGAGACTCTGCACTCAGGAAATCTGACAACCAACCAAATTTGCTCTCAAAAAATTCAACAGGAAACTCCAGAATTACATGAAGGAGATTACTCGAGGCAATGTTAAAAGCAATGCAGTTCTAAAGAGATAAATTAAATGACATTGGCTTGGGGATAATTTGATATCACCATTAATTTCATGCAAAAAATAAATGAATATGTTCCAAATGAATTTTTATAAGAAAATGGAAATATAATGTGCATGTTACCTCTATTATTTTGTCCCAGACGGGCCGGTGACCAACAGCATCCCAGAGAGTGGCATGCTTGTCGTGACCGCAGGTCAAGAACTGAGGTTTCGAGGCATGGACAGCCAGTCCCCAAAGCTCATCAGTGTGACCCTACAAAGAACCAAGACAGACAGAAGCACTCTCAGTTACTACAGCCAAGGCTCAGCAGCCTTAAGGGATGACTAGCCATGGCTTCATGCCGAGTTCGTAACTGGCCTCGTAAGTTTCCCTCCTCCCAACTTAACTTATGGCAGTGGCTAAAAACTCTGAAGTGGAGGAAGCTATCTCAGTATAAAGCATGAGAATAATCCCCTCTTCGGAACGCTTGATGACAGTCTGCTAGAATGCAAGATGGAAGTGTCTGCTGGGCCTGCTGAGTGGATCGTACCTGAGTGATGGGTGCAAAGTCCCCCGACAGAGTGCCTTGTAGGACGAAGTTTCTAGTCGTGCCAATCAAGATCACATCACCTTTCCCCTCGGCCACTGTCCGTATTGGGCCGAACTGTTCTGGAATCTGCATTGAAAAGAGTCATATGAAAATTAAATATTTACAATTTCATCAAATTATTAGCTTAGTCATTCAAAATACTTGTTTATATATCATAATTATATCCCCTATAACATACACACACACACACATATATATATATATATATACATATATATATATATATATATATATATACACACACACACACACACACAGAGGAGGTTTTAGGTAGATACACAGTTTTTGAGTGAATGATCAAAGCCCCAAACTTTATTTCTGAACTACAAACATTTTTTAATAAATCTTTGTATATCTTACAAGAATCAGCAAGAGTGAGATTGTTAAGAAAAAGCACTTACCTTGACAAAATTAAAAAATAAGGCCTACCTACTGGTTGGTTTCCTCTTCACTTCTTAGGACTTTTGATAGCAATAGCAAATACAGTTTGTAAAGCAAACAATAATGTAACACTGTCATAGTGAGAGCTCCTGAACGCCTATTGTAACTTAAAATGGTAAATTCTTTGGCCATGACACTGTGTTTAGTTTTAAAATCCATTGTTTATATTGATAAACATACAGAATAATCTACATGATAAGAAAAAGAATTTCAATAAAAACAAAGAAAGAATTTCGAAGTACACCTGCTGAGAGCAATTTGCTATGATGAAGTAAATAAATTTTTACACCGTGAAAACAACAAACAGCACAGCTAGGCCTTGGCAGGCTGACGCTGCCACTCCAGTTCCAGGGCCCTAACAAGTGGCCTGGCGTCATACGAACTTTCCATCCCCAGTGTGGTCTGCTAGCGCAGACTTGAGAAAAGATGTCCGTGATCCAAGCTAATGAAGAGGAATCACAGATACTAACACATGGTAACGTCTATGAAATTAGATGAGGCTTTGGAGCTCTCTTTGCAGTTATAATTTAATATAGGTATGTCTACGGCTCTAGCAATTCACAACACATTCAACCAAAGGCTGGTCAAATCTAATAAAAAATATTATCACAACTGAAATCTCCTTGAAAGGGGAAGTGATTTCCAAAGCTCAGAGGAAGGCCTTCCTTTAGTGAGAGCAATAATCAACAGAGCCAAATTTGCGTCCTGCCAAAGAATGGTGCCCTGCTGCTCACTGATGTAACTAATGTGTAAGGGTTTTGTATGTATCAGACTTAGAAATGTGTCCATTCTAAGCCAGGGATGAAGAGCATCAACCTTAAGAATGATGCAGATTTTGCAATCTGTCTGCTCACAATTTCCTGGAACTGGGGGGAGAAAATCCAATGAGTGTATAGAAGGATTATCAAATTTCTTGCCTTGGGCTCCTACTGGAATGCAGGACTGCTAACTAGGTAATGAGTCAGTGAAGAGGCTATAAGATGAGTTAGAGCCCTAGAGAGCCGCTGGCATAGCTGAGAGTCGTATACAAAGCACATACTCTACTGCAGTTCAATCAAAGCGATAATGTCTCCAAAACAACATGCTGGAAATTAAAAGTGAAAAAAGAAGAATGATTTTAATGATAAATCAATATGTGGGCAATAGTCCCTTGGAAAGTTGAGATTGGTTCTATTATAAAAATATTCTAAATATGAAACGTATTATGACCTCAAATTTTATAAACTTAATTCCATTTTAGCAGTTGTACTTAAACTGCCTCCATGATTTTAATATGTTGCCCCATATAGTATAATTTCGTCTAAATAATTTCCAAAACTGTAAGCTAAAGATTTTAAACTAACTAAGAAACCGGTGAGGATAATCGTTTAAGGTTCAAAACGAATTTCAACAGTCATCTTGCTGACCTACCTCAGTTTTGTGAAGTTTTTGATAGTTTCCGCTCCAAGAAATGAGCTTCCGGTCTTTGCCACCTCCCGACACCAGCGTGCCATCTCTTAACATACAAAGTGCAAAAATGCCACCCTCGTGGGCCCCTTGAACTGCATAGCTTATTCGATTCGTACCTAAACACACCAAGAAAACCATCGTTACCAAAAGGTTCACCTCTGCCCATTTCAAATCCATTTCATTTTTGTTTTTAAGATGCAATATTGCCAGTCAGAGCATCACTGCAACACAAATCTATGAAGGATCCAATCTCTAGATGTTCACAGAGCACCAGACAAGCAGGAACTGGATCACTGTACGAAGAAGGAAATCGTGCCAACACAAAGCATCTGTGGTTGGAGCGCAGCGTGGCCGAGGACGTGGGCTCAGAGTTTACAAAATCCAAGCTCGGCTCCCGGTGAGGACAAGTGAGGAAACGCCTCTGCATCTCAGTCCCCCTCTGTGGAACGGGGCTACTGCCCACCCTACGGGATTGCTGTGAGGTTTAAATGAACAGTAGACACAGCACCTAGAGCAGTGGCCATAATGCAAAAGTCACCTATTATTTGAAAGTTACATTTATGGGTCTATCTCTACCTTCACTCCCAACCCGAACTCTAAGACCCTTGAGGACAGGAATGGTGTATTTTCTCTTTTTTCTTGGCACCTGGCTAAGCACTCATAAATGCTCACTGGACTCTACTGAATACGCATTTTCTAAGTGACAAATCTCCCTCACCAAACTATTTGCTCCCCGACAGGGATTTGGATCTGACTCACTGGTATGCTCACGGCATCTAGCACATATCAGCATTGGGTAAGCGTCTGCTGGTGTTATAAGAATCAGGAAAGTTACCTAAATATTTTATGGCTATATAATAGTCACGAACAACTTCATCATTAAACTCATCTCCTAATAAAGCTATTAATTCCATCACAATACCTTGGGTTTAAAGAGCCTCTGAGGATGATATAAGGTCAGTAACTCTCACTATTCTCCGTTTTCCTCTGTTCTAGTTTTACGGTTTCAAGTCCTGCATGCACACACGTACTATGTATCTCTATAAGGTGGGATGCAACAGAAATCCTGTACATTCTATAAACAGACAATTCTCACAGAAGTCACACTTGGCCTCTTACTTAAAACATTACCACAAGTAGTTGGCTTTGGGAACAATCGCTTGTTACCTTTTCCCCATACTAAGATGTTGCCACTTGAGTCTCCGGTAATGGTGTCACCATTTTCAGAAAAAGTCACACAAAGGACAAACTTTGGCTTTTCTTGTTTCTGCAGAATGTAGTGAACATAGATATATTGACTCAAGACAGCCTTTCGTTTGTATTAATAATATCTAGAATCATCGTAATCCCCAAGTGGTAGTGTCAGCTTCTGAATCTACCCTGTATGTCTTTTGTTCTTATCTACCACTATGTTACTTAAGCCACGGGGTTAATTACTCTAAGATAAAGAAATTTCTGGCAACTCTAAATGGCTGGGGAAATCATAAAGCTGCAGAGAGTGAGCAGAGGAGGGTATTGGAAGGGAATAAGGGGCTGTGCTGTCATGACTGTAGCCTAAAGGACATAGCCCAGGACCAGAAAAAGAGGTCCTCTAAATTAGCCTCAGGAGGAAGCAGTGCTATCTCCTGGACCAGCCCACTGGCGCCAGGCTCTGAGTGGCCTTGGTGCTCCCCTCCCTCCTCCCTGGAACTGGGTGCTCCTCTCCCTCCCCTCTCCCTGGGGTTGGGTGCTCCTCTCCCTCCCCTCTCCCTGGGACTGGGTGCTCCCCTCCCTCCTCCCTGGGGCTGGGTGCTCCTCTCTCTCCCCTCTCCCTGGGACTAGGTGTTCCCCTCCCTCCCCTCTCCCTGGGCCTGGGTGCTCCCCTCCCTCCCCTCTCCCTGGGGCTGGGTGCTCCTCTCCCTCCCCTCTCCCTGGGGCTGGGTACTCCTCTCTCTCCCCTATCCCTGGGGCTGGGTGCTCCTCTCCCTCCCCTCTCCCTGGGGCTGGGTGCTCCTCTCCCTCCCCTCTCCCTGGGACTGGGTGCTCCTCTCCCTCCCCTCTCCCTGGGACTGGGTGCTCCTCTCCCTCCCCTCTCCCTGGGGCTGGGTGCTCCTCTCCCTCCCCTCTCCCTGGGGCTGGGTGCTCCTCTCCCTCCCCTCTCCCTGGAACTAGGTGCTCCCCTCCCTCCCCTCTCCCTGGGGCTGGGTACTCCTCTCTCTCCCCTATCCCTGGGGCTGGGTGCTCCTCTCCCTCCCCTCTCCCTGGGGTGGGTGCTCATCCTATTTCTCCCCTCGTTACCAGTGTCATACACAAGTCACAAGGGGCTCCCCCCACAAGGAGAGACCCCAGAGATAGTCCTCATTGCTTTGCCTGGCAGACGCTTCCCCATATTTGCCATTAAAACCAAGTCTGAGGCTGAGATACCCCAAAGCTCCCTTAAATCTAGCTGATCACAGGTACCACACAATGAAAAACAGAACAAAAAGTGTAACGTAACTCTACCTCAAATAACCCTTGCTTCTTAATAAGGGAGTTTCCTTCTAGTGTCCAAAAGTAGAGATGAGATTTTCCACAGGTCACTATGATGTTGGTGTCCGTGGGGTGGAAATCCGCAGCAAACACAGCTTCATTAGAGCACTAAGAAAAACAGGAGAATCACATGCCTCAACTCTCTTAAGGCACTTAGGAGACACTTAGGAAAATAAATAAATCTGAAGCACAAAGAAATAACTAATTCCAGCCAGCACTGTGCCATTGCCGCTTGATTCTCCCCCACTGAATTCCTCTTGCTGTAAACATCAAGCGCACGATGGCCACGTGCCTTCCCTCCTCCCTGTCTCTGGAACTGGGTGCTGGGCCCCTGAGCACGTTGGGGGCAGGTGGGGGATCAGAGTCCTCCTCCCATGCTAGGGCCTGTCACAGGGCCGGGTGTGCGGCGGGCACACAGCAAGCTTTGCTGAGGAGGGGTTGGGGCAGTGGGGACCCAGGGACAGTGAGCGTTTGCTCTCATCTGCCAGTCAGGGGCTCCCAGCCTGGCTGAGCAACGGAATCCAATGCTGGGTGTTAAAATGCAGATCTCTAGGCCTTGACCCCCATCTAGTGGTTGAAATCTCCAGAGAAGGGCCCGGGAATCTGGATTTCACACAGCTACATTGTCCATGCTGACTGTGGCTGCCCTGTTTTCCCCAGGGAGTCCCTACTGCATCCAATTCCTGGGACACAGGAGGTGATCTGGCCCTGTGGCTGCCACTTCACCACGCTTCAACACGTATCCTGACTTCCAGGACCTGCACCCTGGTCTGCTAAATCTGGCACTCATTGTTGCTTCTACCTAAGAAACAGTTACACATTCATGAACCTGGATAACTTGCCTCTGATTATTTCCAACCTAGCAACACAGCAAAAAGAACTAAATACTTGACCAGGATATTAGATGGCAGGGCTATGGCATGAAAACAGGTGTTAGGAAACATGCCTGATTAGTACGTAATGTCTCCTGCATCCGAGACACACAAGAGAGGAAGTTAGGTAAGTGAGGTTACCTCGTGGTAGTTCCAACGCTGGATAAGTAAGGTTATTTAATGGTAATTCTAATATTAGGTAAGTAAGGCTATCTAAGGTTAATAGATGCAAATTGAGACAGCTGAAGTCAACTCTATAAAAATAGGGATCCAATCATGATTTTAATAGGTGAAAAACATCAGAAAGTCAGGGGAAGTTGATTTTATGTACCGTGCAAGGTGGGTTAGAGGCAGAAGAAGTCCAAGAGGGGACACTGCAGAAGGGTCCCACTGGGAGGGATTTGGGATTTAGCAGGGGCTCTCGCTGCCTTTCCTGAGCCTGTTCCACTTTGGATGAGCCCCTGTGCTGGTGGCGCCCACCTGTCCTTGCCCTCCTCCCAGATGGAGAAGCTTGCGCCCAAGGGCAGGGACAGGAATGGGCAGCCCTCTATGGGAAACAAGAAACAGGGACACTGGGCCCTGGAGCCGGCTGGCAGGAGGCTACGGCTGTGCCCAAGAGTCTCCGAATGGGAAAATTATAAGGCTTGAAGCGAGACCTTCACATCAGCCAGCTTTTCCTCCTTCTGCCAGTCCCACACGGACAGCACGTGGTCGTTGGAGTCGTCCACAGCACAGAGATTGCTTCCTCCATTCTGGAAAGAAAGTTATTCACAGGAAGACCACATTTGAGAATAAATTGGGTTGAACGTGATTAAAATGAACATCAATTTTACTTTTAATAAAGAGTCTGCTACATTGTGCTAAAGAATATTCACCCATTGCTTTTGAGACCTGCCTTCTTGGCCAGCCAACGTTAGCAGGTGAATGGGGGGTAATGAAGGGACAGGATCGGGAAGCGGGTCCGGAGGTGGCTCCTCACCACTGGACACAGAGCCGTCCTCCTAGAGCAGCCAGTGCCCACAGCAGGCACAGCACAGGGGCTGCTACCAGCGGTGGCCACGGCTCCTGTGAGGCCGCACAAGGACTGAGCACTAGGGCCACCGTGACGTGGACATGACCCTGTGTGTGGGCATATCAGTTTCTGAACTGGGTGAAGAAGTCGCTTGCAAGTGGGGTGGTCTGCTGAACCAGCACATCCCCAGGAAGCTTGGAAGACCACGAGGCCCCATCCAACTCCTGCTTGCGGATGGGCAGCCCGTGTCGGGATGCAGCCCACGTCGGGATGGCAGAGACATGTTAGAGCCACCTGTGAAGGGAGCAGGTCAAGTTCAAGGCCAGAGCAGGCAAGCTGCCTTAAGGACCTGAGAACAATGTCGTGGGGGGCCTCTTTGCTCACCAAGCCCACATGGCTGAAGATGCCTGATTGAAGTGTGTGTGATGAGACGCGTGTGTGACCTCTGAATGAGGGGACCCAGAAAACAGGAAGGTCAGAGCTCCAATCTCTACAAGCACCTGGGCAGTTAATATGTGTGTTAAGCCTGCCCCTTTGCGATATCGAGTTGATTCTCTGCTCCCTGAGAAAAAGACCACCGTACCCATGGGCTCATACTTACAGATTTAGAAAACGCAATGCAGGTGACAGCTCGGTCAAAAAAACCTATTCCAATGACGTGCAGAGTGTTCAATGTCACAGAATCCCAGATGCGCACATGTGGGGGCAATTGCTGTTTTGAAAAAATGCAGAGTCACCGATCGTGATGGTTATACAGTTAGCTACAAGATTACTTGGGTAGTAACTTCAGTTTTGTCAAAACGAACGGGTTTTTCCTGCATTTGAGGAGTCTGCTTTTTAAAACATTCCCAGTTTGAATAACCAACTCTTGACAACTGTACCACAGGAACCGACACTCTAATTCAGACAGTACATGAGTCTGAATTTTAGAAATGAAAGATGACAAGTAAAATGGAATCTCACATAAGGGTCATTCTTTTAATGTCTGTTGCTAAGGTGTCAGCATGTCTATGTTCGTCAAGTCAGTTATCATCAAATAGTCTTAAGAGCTTAACATTCTTGTGCAAAACAGGCAATCAATTATGCACAATTATGATTAGTTCAAAACTCTCTCAACTGTGTGTCTAGGTTATTTATACTACTTTTTCTCTTCTTTAGTAGAAGAAAATATCATAGAGCGACGAGCAGGTTTATCAACAAGAACAGGTACAAGCATTGCACCTAGTGGACGGACTAGGTGGTAGGTGAGCTGGGTTCTAGCTCAGTCTTGTCTCTAAGTAGCTGGGTATCTGCGGGCAGTCACTAGGTCTCTCTAGAGTTATCCGCAGGTAAACTTGATAAAAGCTATAACATTTTCTCTGGTTCTAAAGTTGGGATTCAATTTTGATGCCAGAAACTGAAATACTCTTTTAAGCCACTAGAGGGAGGGACAAGGTTTACTATTAACTTCAAAGAATTTTTCAAGGCCATTTAACATTTTTTAAAAAAGAAAAAGACCCATTCCATTTATGTGAATTTACATAATTTCCATCATTCCTGTTAACTCTTTTCAATTGTAGAATTCTAATGGAAACTAGCACAAGGTTAACATTTAAAATCCAATGTTATTAAAATATTTTCTGAAATATGGTAGTATTCATTTTCCAGAAGAAAGCACTTTGATAGAAACGTAAGTACTTAATGCAATTAGTTCCAGATAATATATTATGCATTAATAAGCTATATAAAAGTAGATATCAAAGAATCTACAAGCTCTCTTTTTCTTATGCCTTAAAATACAATAAAGTCTTGCTAAAGTGCTTAGAAAAGATTGTGTGCTAAAAGATTCCTAGCAGCTTTTGTGACTTGCACACAGACACAAACTCTGAAAGTTGACGTCACGATTACAGGGCATTTGTGACAGAGGGTGGCTGAAATTTACTGAAGAGGCAAGATGCTCCATATTTAACTGATTATTATAATTTTAACGTTATTCATTAAATGTATACCTTCATATTTTAATGCTTATCATGTGTATAAATAAGCAGTTTAAGAATTAGTGAATTCTCTTTCTTAAGACAGCCACCAAAGCTGTGAAGGAATTAGTGAATTCTTTGGCAAGAACAATGCTATTTAAAGATTCATTGAAATTAACGTGAGCTCAAGAGATTTTTAAGGTCACTGTAAGACTTTTAATTTACAATAAAAAATTCTAAAGAGGAGGCCAGAAGTATTCAGATACTGTAACCATATCCAAGCATACTTACTCATCAGCAAAACGTTTTCAGGAAATTATTTTGTGTTACCAGTTTATTACAAAAATATGAAAAGATAACTCACTTTTCCATCCTTAGATGTGCCTGCAACTTGTCCTGTTGCTATCGTGATCCTATCAGGATGAACTGCTAGGCTAAAAAAAGAATATTTGTAAAAATCTATACTTTAAAGGTAAGTTTTATTTTTCCCTTGATCGAATATAATCTAGGTGAACATTTAAATGTAAGAAATACAGAATGCCTAGCTTCTTACAGACTCATGACAAATGCTTTGAGCACCCCGACCTTAGACAACTAATGCTTATTTCATTTCATCTTAATTCCCTTGTTTCTTCTTGAGAATATTCAATCTTAAGGAAAAAGCACCCTTTGCTAAGAAAATACCATTTCAATCCGGAACTTCTTAATTAGTCTACAACGTTTATTAATAAGTCGTTTTGAGTATATAAAAGAGGAAAGATGTCATCTTTTGCCAATGGGATTTTTTATCATTAACCAAGGACCCAGGATAAACACAAATCCACAAATCCACCTATTCATCCATCCATCCTTCCAAGATACAAAAACCCCTACGAAAAGCTATAAATGAATTATGGGAATATCAGACCCAGCCATAAACATGAAGCAAAACATTTTTATCTTCATCAAAAAATAAAGACCCAAATTAGAAGCCTTTAACAAGTGATGTGCGAAGGTGGTCTCCAAACAGGTGGGAGCTACGTGTTTAGGTAAGACAGTCAAGATGATGTGCTGTGAGGACAGAAAACTGAGAATGACAGGTGTCTTCCTGGGCCAGGTAACTCATGGGCTGCAGAGAACAGAAAGGAGCTTTCCTCACTGATCCTGTTTTCTCAGACCCCTTTCTTCTCTGCAGTTACATCCCAACACTGACTTCTTCCTGCAAATGCTGTTTCCGCCTGGGCAACGGAGCCACACTGGTGGACTCACCACTTCACGTCGTCGTTGTGGCCGGCGTAGTGGCGCTGCAGCTGCTCCTCCACGTTGTACAGCACCACCACGGACGCGATGAAATACACCGTCTCTCCCGTCGGAAGCAAGTACAGGTTGTTACGACAGTCTCGGCCTCGGTACCCATAGCTTTGTGCGTGTCAAGAAAAAATCATTTTCCCTTTAAGAGCTCACAGACATTAGCTTCATCTAACAGGCACAGGCAATAAAACGCCATATGACTATTACCATCAATTTCACTAATTTAAATAACATTGAATTATAAATACTCAGTGTCAGATGCTTCTGGCCCCCAGTAGGCATGCAGTGAAGTTGGAAATGGTCAATGTGACGTGAATACACATTTTTCACATTGCAAAGATTTCGTTTTATGTTTAGAAAGTTACTGAGCCAATTATGAGTCTATTTTTTATTGGAATCTAGGAGTTAAATCTTCTACTCAAAAAAAACCTTTTTTAAACACGATAAGTATTCATTTATCAAGTGTACAGATGACACACACATGCACATAAACAATACTTAAAAGGTACAACAAATGAGGTTCCCCTTGCTCCAGCTTCTTAGGGATAATTACCCCTATTAAAATTTTGGCATATATGCTTCCAAAGCTTGAAAACTATTTTGAGAACAAAACATCACTGGAACTTGGATGTAAAAAATAACTTGGCAAAAAACACCATTTATTTGGGAAAAAATTCAGTTTTATACCTTCTAAAGTATAAACAGGAAGTAAGCTGAATGTGTTTTGAATAATATTTTCCAGATTTAACCATTTAATAAAACACTACTGACTTAAAGAAGAGCTGAATCATTTAAATGACATGTGTCAAAACAGATTCCAAAACAGGTGCAAATAAATGCTTATGACATTTGAATCTGAAAAAATAAAAAATGCATTTTGGAGGAGAAATTTAGGTACAGGTGATATTTTTTTAAAACTTTTCAAAGAATATGATTCCATAATCTCAAAAAGTATTTCTTCTAAATGAAGTTACAACAGCTTCAATTTAAACCAACTTCTTATAATCTGTATACCGGACTTGGCATTAAACAAGTACTCAATAAATATTTGTTCGAAGTGAAAAAAGGGAAATTTATTCTTTGTCTTGAAATGTGCATGGACTAAAGGTAGCCTCTGTGACCTTCCTCTAAAGTCAAAGATAAGTAAATAAATGGAATTAAATGGGAAAAAATACCAACATTTAATTCTCCTTTCTCACGGGTCCTATTTTCTTGTCTTTCAGCCGTTTTTCCCTGGAAGCTCACCTTTCCAAACCTCATACTACGAAGCTGCCAGTAGCTCTATTTCAAGACGTCAGTCATATGGGTGATTCAGAATTTTGTGGCCTAGGCTTTCAGGGAGCCTTTTATTTTTTTTATTTATATATACATTTTTGATACCGAGTCTTGCTGTGTTGCCCAGGCTGGACTCAAACTCCTGGACACAAGCGATCCTTCCGCCTCAGTCTCACAAAGGCAGGTAGGGTTATGTCTGTGCTTCACGTCAACTTTGTTTATGCCATTCATTTGACTCCCCTCACTTAGGGCTGTGGTACTCATAGCGTTGTGCTCCCCCTCCAAGCAGTTGGGATTACTCTTGAAGTCAACTTCCTCAGGCTGGTCGAGTCCCTACTTGGCTTAAGGAGAGAATGCTAGTCCTTCCTTTCAGGGTACCCCTCTCTTTTCTTTAGGTTTAAAAACTTATTTGCAATGTGGTTTAGCTTCGATTTCTGATATTTCTATTTTTCTCATTCACAAGTTCAATATTTTCCTGCATTTTCACTGTTGTTTCCTTGTAAAGATGCGGAGCTCCTGGCTTTTCCAATATATGCCTGAAGAGTTGACTGAGTATATGATAGTTCCTGCTAATCAGTTCTCTCATTCTCATTAGAATCCTAAATTCTATCCCATTTTTGATTATTTTTACTAAACTTCCTTCTTTTCTTTTTTTCTCCCAACTTTCTGTAGAGACGGATCTCGCTATGTTGCCCAGGCTGGTCTTGAATTCCTGGCCTCCCGAAGTACAGGGATTACAGGCATGAGCCACCATGCCCGGCCTAAGCTTGCTTCCTTCATAAGTTTTTTTTTTTTTTTTTTTAGACAGAGTCTCACTTTGTTGCCCAGGCTAGAGTGAGTGCCATGGCGTCAGCCTAGCTCACAGCAACCTCAAACTCCTGGCTCAAGCGATCCTCCTGCCTCAGCCTCCGAGTAGCTGGGACTACAGGCATGTGCCACCATGCCCGGCTAATTTTTTCTATATATGTTAGTTGGCCAATTAATTTCTTTTATTTATAGTAGACGAGAGTCTCCACTGCTTGCTCAGGCTGGTTTCGAACTCCTGACCTCGAGCGATCCGCCCGCCTCGGCCTCCCAGAGAGCTAGGATTACAGGCGTGAGCCACTGCGCCCGGCCCCTTCATAAGTTTTTAATCAGCTTTATTCTTTTGGAAAGATTAAAATTCAGACCAGAAGCTAGTGGTTCATTTTTCCATGACCTATCTCCCCAAAAAATCATTGATATAATAATATAACATTTTAATATGTTCTTTTCAGGGAAAAAGCATATGTATATTAATTAGAGCAAGAACCACCTATATTTCACTCAGGAAGGATAAACTGGTTTCCCCATAATCAGTAGCTCCTATGGAGCGCCTCTTTTGCTAGGTACTATGCTGGGATCTGACACGTGGCCAACTTTGTCAAATGAAGGTTCCTTAAAGTGAGAATAAAATATTTCACTTTTTAAAAGCTTAGGACTGAAGTTTTATTAATTTCTACAGTTAAGTGTCGAGTATTGATTTACTTTGTATAAGATCTAGTCAGTGAATAAAGGATACACCCATTCCAGCTTGAGCCTCTTGGTTGGAAGTTCTACTTTTGCTTCTAAATTGTAAGAATCCACTTGATCTTTGGGCATGTACATGGTAACAGGGCGTCCACGAAGAAACATTTTTACATAGCCTTCTTCTACAAAAAGAACAAAGAGTCAGTAAGACACCTCAGCCCCCAGCAAACCTGAAAACAAATGTCATATCCTCTCTAGCCTTTCTACGTCAAAGTGAAAACTTTGCCCTTACATCATTTCTAATTCACATCCTAGAGAAAAAATAACTAACACATAAAACCACACTTTGAAATAAAAGTTTGCATCTTGTTTGCTTTTGACATTTGGCTTACTCAGTACAGGAAAGATACAAGAAATTGTAAAAGGCAGAAAAGAATTAGGTTCCAACAATTATTTTCCATGAGATTTTAGTGCTTATGTTTTGTCAGCAGAAGGGGAAAAAAAAATACCCCAAAAAATTACAACATAAGAAATCCACTTAAATTTTTTATTGAGTTCAATGTATATACAATCTCAATATTAAATATTATAAAATATCTTCCAATATTTAAATTGGTTTGTTATATTGCAATGTAAAAATATATCTTTATGTATCTTTTACATTGGATAATTCTTTCCAGTGTAAAGAACACAAAATCAGCAGCAATGCATGCTAGGATGCATGCAAAAAGGAAAATGCTCAGAGAAAAGCTAGAAATGGAAAACAAAAGAACAAAAGACCCATTAGAGAGAGAAATTAGGAAGTAAAACTTTCTAGAACAAACATTTCTATAATGAAGTCACTTTTTATATTTCAATAAGTTATAGGGACAAAGGCAAATATATTGACAGGGTAACTCCTAGACCTTAAAAAAAAAAAGAAAACCCCAGCTTGGGTGTTCTGACTAGAGTGTTCAGGATACACTAAGCAAAGAAAATATCTCGTGAGCTCCTGATGAATTCTGTTCAGATTCAGAATTCGCTGAATTCTGATGCTTCACTGCAGACCCAAGGCCCCGGCCTTAATGGCATTTAAACTGGGCAGTTGGAACCAGGGATATCTGCACACAACTTAAAAAAATAAAATCATCCACAGAGAGGAAATCGGTAAGGAAAAGTCATAAAATAATTACAGTATTGTAAGTACCACATTTATAAATGAGTTTTGTAAGTCTTAGTCCTAAGGATTTCCAAACAATGCCACATGCAGCATTACTTAAAAGTTACGAGGCATCCCCATTTTATGTTATTGTGCGCGTGCACCTCAGGTCTTAAACTCATGCGTGTGACACACCCTTCACGCTGCGTATTAAGTTTGACTTTAAGTGAGAACCATGGAGGCATTCATCCATGCATGTGCCAGTTATCCTGTCCCACTGATCCTCCGCCAGGCTGCCGCCGACCTGCCCCGCTGCACCGGGGCCAGCCGATCTGAGGCCCCCTCCCTGCAGGCTCTCTTATGGAGACTGGGGTCAGCTTACACACTGCAGCCAAATCCATCATGGCCCAAACTGGATTTTACTGGGTCCTTCCTCCACGCTGACTGCTTCGCTCGCTCTCGTACTTGGTGGGCGCGGCGGTCTCCCTGCCCTGCTCTGCTCTCCCCGCGCAGGGCCCCAGTGGTCACGGCCACCCCCGTGGGGAATGCAGCCTGCCTGTCTCTGTGCCTCTCCTTGTGTGCTCTCCTTGGAAACCTCTTCTGCCCCTTAACCCCTCACCCAGATCTAAGCTCCCCTGACTGTGGCTACCAAACCTGAAGAATCTAAAAGCACCCAAAAGATGGACAATGAAAAGAGGGGCTGGAGCGATGGAGTGAGAAATCAAATAGAAAGTGATTCTATCAACTCTCCTCGTAAAAGATGAACCTATCCTTCCAGAAAACTCACAGAATGTTTGTAAGGAGCAAAGATGACATATAGTGCCATGTCTGTGACACATGAAAAGGCCACTGTGGATGCACACAATCAATGTGTGAGATACCTACTTGAGTGCATTGCAGTATGTGCTGGGTAAGGACCCTTATGATTGAGGCTTACTTATTGCACAACTTAAAATTACTGGACTAGGCAAAAAAAAAAAAAAAAGCACTAAATTTAGCCTTGGCACTGTTTTATAATGATAATTCAGCAGGCTACATTTAAAATAAAAATGCAGCTGGGGAAGCAATGTTTTTTCCAGGCATGTTAGGATAACAGCACACACAACCACCAAACCCAAAGGCGCTAGTGGGGAGAGGCCAGCAGCAGTGCAGGGTACCATGTCAAACGGTGGGACATCCAGGGGTAGCCCTATAGCTCTCTTGTGGTTTACAGAGATGAAAAAAATTCCTGCAATCAGCCAATAATCAATGAAGATCCAAATGATAGCCACTTATTAAAGCCCATCCAAGGAAATGCTCAGGGATGCTTTTAACTTAAAATAAATCAGAGTGGTTTGCAACACAAAAACATTTTCATACAAGAAGAGTATCTGTTTGCCTGTATGAAAAAAGTTTCTGTAGCCTGGGTAACAGCTTTGCTCAGAGAGCTATGAGGTTTCAGAAATGCTGCCTACCTTTGCAGTGTGTCACCCGGCGTTTCCCTTGTGATTTCGGAGACAGAGACAGAAGGGCTAGATGAAGAGACGGGAGTACTGCAAGTGTGACTGGCCTGCCTGCTCCCAGAGCACGCTGGCTCTTGGCGGGAGACCTGCCCTGCCCCCCGTAGTAAGGTCGGACACAGCTCAGGGACTCTGACAAGCGCGCTCACCATGTGGCCCTGCGCGCTTAAGGCAATTACCTTTTCGGTGAGTAATTTCATGCTTCCTGGGAATGAAATGAACACTAAAGCACATGCTGATAAATACAAAAGTTTGACTCTCATGTTTTAATTCTGAATTTAAGAAAAAAAAAAACCAGAAACATTATAATTAAATGAATTTATGTAACCAATTACATACTTATTCATTTTTTTTTGCATTTTAAATGCATTTTTAAATAAGGTTAAGATGCTAAAAAACAGCATCTGCCTTATTTAAAAGACATGTTATGGAAAGATCTACAGAAAGGTATATATGAACTATTAGTTTGCAGTTTAGGAGATCATAGGCAGAAAAAGAAAAGCTACTTTTAGAACAAAGTTATATAACTTGATGCATCAGAAACTTTCCCTTGAAGAGAAATGCAAATGTTGGTGACAGAATACAGTTAGTAAGGAAGGAATAGCCAAGGCAACAGAAGTCTTTAAATCTAGAAATTCCATGACTGCATGGGTGGTGGCATTCCACTCTCCCTTATTGCCCTGCCCTAAATTGGTTTTAGCGGGAGGGAAGTGAAGGGTTTGGTCTCTGTGACTGTGTGACAGGTGGTCTTGCCGTCATTATCAGAGCCCTTGGTACCCAGGACCTAGCTGGCAGCTCTCCATCTGGTCCGCACAAACACCAAAGCCCCCGAAATAGCTGCATCTTATCCATCCCCCAAGCTCTGAGGAAGTGAGTGAGGGGGACCCAGACGAAAATCAAATCAGACTTACCTGCACTGAACACGGGCTCCTTGGGTTTGCTGTGAAAATAAATCAAAAACAGTTTTTAAAGGTCACCTTGGGTGTTTAATCTCATTCACTTAAGACTTCACAGCCACTCGCTGGCTGCAGTAGTTTGGCCTCACACATTAACAGGAAAAACAAAACCAGTTTTCCCACAAAAAGGAACACGCATAAATAAAAATGTCCAAAACTAGGTGCAAGAGTTTACAATCCTAACTTTATTGCCAGAGCTGTGCTTTTCATGAAAGAGCAAGTAAGAGTTTGGGGGGGGGGGAGGAAATTCTGGTTAATCAAGATGGGAACAGCCCTGCCTCAATGTGTGAAAAGGGTTGTTTTTCTCCCCCTCGCTTTTCTGACAGATTATTTAAAGAACTTATTCAACACCATCAAATTCCTGACAAAAGACCTTTCGGGTGAGGCCTTGAGATGAGAGCTCACCTCCGAGGTGGAACACTGCTCTGAGGGAGACGGGAGGGGGGGACAGAGGGGCAGGGAGAAGGGAGGGTTACGGGGTGTGGTGCCCCAGCTCAGCCACCCCATGGGGACACCACTGCTGACTCCAGCCACCCTGGGTGCCCGGCACTAACAGGCTGAGACCGCCCTGTGCCCGCACCTGGGAAACCAAACCCACGAATGTTCAAGGACAGTGCCGCAGATGGACGGAGGTCACCGCTAGGGGCAAGTGTTCCGCAAGGAAGGCTTCCCCGAGGGGTCCCCAGGTGCAGGAGAGGGGGGCCACGGCTGCAGGCCCACCCCTTCCCGTGAGGGGCACCCCTCCCAAGAGGACCGCCTGCGGGGAGACGGCACCATCTTCATTCCAGCCTGGGACAGGGACGTTCAGGGAACACAGGGAGTGTGAACGGCAACCAAGCCCGAGTCTGGGAGACACCCAAGTTCATGCTGTTCTCCACACACCATCCACATCCGCCGACTTCTTCCGGTTTAAGACACGGAGCAAGACATGGGACACGGGCGAGAGCCGTGAAGTGTGCTGCTTTTATCCTCACTCCTTAAACATTGCTAGAAGCACACATGCATTTTTTGTTGTGCATACTTTTTTAAAAAAACCTCAGTAGATCTATTCCTAATATTATTCCTCCTTAATTTTTATTTTGAAATACAATGAAAAATATCATGAATAAAAATTAGCATAAATCCTGTGATGTAATAAATATTAATAACATTATTATGTTATTGATTTCCCGATGATTTCCCGTAGTATGTAGGGTGAGCTAGTGGGGGCTACCGCTTTGCTGATGCTTTAAAAGTGGTTTGCACTGTTCGCACTCGTTTTATGTAGATAATTCTGCTACAGGCTTCCTTTTCCAAATTCCACACTACAGTAATTGGAAATAGTACTATACAAGCACGGCAGCACCTTTTAACCTACAAGCCTAGCTCTTGGCTTGGACCTGTACAATCTTCATGGTACTCCTTTATCCTTCTGACCTCACCCACCTTCCCTGTGTTCCCTGAACCTGCCAGGCAGGTCCTTGTGTCGGCGTTTGCTCAGGGTCCCTCCTGGACCTCATCCCTACAGCTGCTGCTAGAGCCTGTTCCCCTCCTCAGGCCTCTGCCACCCCTCCCCGCCTGTTTCACTGTCTCTGCAGCACTCGGTCACTTTGTGTCTCCCAGGAGGAGGTAAGCTCCGCGAGGGCAGGGATCCGTTTCGTCCACTGCTACCTTCCCCTTGCCTAGAACCAGAGACAGCGGCTGCCGCGCCTGGTGTGAGGCCCAGCGTGCAGACGAGGGTCTCTCGGTCCTCCCGTCTTCAGACTTCGCTAGGGCTCTCAGCTTCCCGTGCTGCCCCCTCCCGCCTGCCACGCGTGCTCACACAGCGTCTGTGGAAAGGGGTGTGTGTCAGTGAAGGGGAAGGGTCCCCTTGTGTCTGGAGCCCCTGGTGATTCCAAACTCTCCTGCCAGTCCACACTGAGCCTTTAACAATTCTATAAAGTTTCTGCTGTTTTCTTCTTACTCCATCTACGAGGGCTGCCTCCTCTTCCTGCTGCTCTGCCGAAGATGAAAGCAGGCAGGGGGCCTGTCCCTCCTAAGAGGGGCTTGACACGTTTTGGATTTTAGTTCATGACACTACTTTGTGACCTCAGCTGTAAGGCGGGTTTCAAATAGCTATGATTTGGGAGATTATCTGGCTTGTTCTCACTGTTAGGGTGGGAGGGACGTTCTTGTGCTTCTCTGTGCGCTAAGCAGAAGCAGGAGTCTTAACTCCAAATTTTATACACGCCATTAGGTGCAAGGCAGGGGGAGGACAGGAGGGGGGAAGCTGGAACACACACCCCGAGGCACATCCCCAAATGGCAGAAACAGAATCAATGGGAAGCCAGGTAGGGAAGTGAAAGACATTTTTTTCATCATGACTTTGATCACAAAAGTAGAAAGATGCAAAAGCTATGAACACAGAAGGACGCAATCCAGAACTTTCCCGACAGGCAGGGTGTGGCTCCTTGCGGGTTAGAATGCCCAGCCCTGTTGTAGGAAGGGCGAGCAAACACTGGGTCCAGAATGAGACTGCATTCGTCCCTCGCCCAGGACAGAGTCGATAACGACCTGACGCCCACGGCAGAGGTGAGCCCAGAGGAGAGAGAGGATTTTCCGTCTGGGGAACAGACCCTCACTGCTTGGCTGTTCTGGTAACAGGTGTGGCCAACATCTCCAGCACGAACAGTGCTGAAATCCGATGCCGTTTTTACCGTGTGTTTCGGCAGGGTGGAGATTTGCTGAGGGAGCTTAGCCGTACGCTCCCTCGGGCTGGTTGGTTCCGAAGACGATCCGAAGGACCTTTAGAAGACATGAGCAGTCCCTGGGGACTTGTGGAGGATGCAAGGTGCACTTGGGCCTTCACCAGGCCAGACCAGTAGCCATATATGGAGGTGGCAGAGGACTGGACATTTGGCTCACGGACAGACTGGCAGCCTGAGGTGCAAGGCTCACCAATACAGAGCAGCGCACTCGCCACCAGTGAGGCAGCTACAACCGACCAAGTCTAAGTCGCACGCTGTCAAGTCCTGAAAGTGCTCACTGTGGACTCTGGATGCAGACACCATCTAACAATGTTTTTTTTTTTATTCATTTGAGAAAACTCATATGTGTCACACTGTGAACTGGCGTTTACACGGAAACAGGCTCCATGAGAACCTGCTCAGACTGCGACTCGACAGTCACCGCGCTTCTCCTCTGCGGGGGGTGCCGCGCTCAGCACGTGCATCTAGGTTAGCCCACTCAGCCCTGCGTTCCCGCACGGGGCCCAGGGCTGGTCCCGAATGCTGCAGGTCTTGGACACACAGGGGAGTGTGTAACGGAGCCCCGGGAGACCAGCACCGGAGCAGAAGCGACAGGGGCCGAATGCCCTTTGAGCAGAGACACTGGCTTACGGAAGTGATTAAGAAGGCTTCATCCCGGAGGAGCCTACAACGAGTTCAACGTGTTATTTCCCTGTAAGTCATTCACGTCATAAATACCAGGGCTCTCGGCGTAACGTGACTTCCTTTGAAAACGATTTCATGTGATAAAATACAGTCCCTGCTGGAAGTCTAAATATTCCACGATGGAAATAATGATTCTTCACAAAAATTGCCCTTAGGCAGCTTTTCACTAGAAAGAGGGTCATTTAGGAACCCTCTATTAAAAATGTTTCTAAGTCTCCGGAGACTTTATTGGGGACAAAACCCACTGCTTCACAGACATCTCCAGCCGACACTTGCAGCCTACCTCGGTGGCCGAGAGCCGAGCGGGGCGGCCCCCGGGCGCGGGCAAGGCGCTTCCCCCCACGGCCCGCCGCCTCGTCTACAGAGTGGGGACACGGCTGTGAGGCGCAGGCTGCGGCGGGAGTAAATAAAATGTCTAACAAAGCGCTCGACACATGGTTATGAACTAATTTACTTATTTCTCCTACTTTCACTAACAAGAAGCTGTGTGCATTTCTGGGCTCCTCACTTAATAGCCTCAAAACTAAAACAACATAAAGAATATTGGCACTTATTTTTGAATTTACTGAAATATAAACGACCCCATGGCTTGAAGAGTAAAACAACTTTTTCAGTAAAAAGATGCTTGATTTAAGTCACCTGATTTCCAACACAAACTGTTTTAAAATCTAAAATGTGCTGTTAAATTTGTCCACCTCTAGGTGGTGCTGTTTACACAGTTCTTAAGCAGCTATGCTTTTTAAAGGAAATCAGAGTCCCCGCACAGCATAAGGACCTTTCCGTCAATGACAGACCACACGTATGATGGGGGTCCCGTAAGATTATAACATGCACTTTGTGCCTTCTCTGTGTTTAGATGTGTGCAGGCACACAAACGCTTCCCGCTATGTCACCGCTCCCCACAGGCTTCAGCATGGGAATAGCATGCACAGGCTCCTGGCCCAGGAGCAACAGGCCGACCCGCACAGAGCCTAGGCTAGCATTGCGAAGTCCGCTCCACCATGCTCACACAACGACATCATCGCTGGACCAGGCACTTCCCACGACGTGTCCCTGACGTTGGGGGCACCTGACTGCACACAGTATCCTTTCACTCATTCGACAAATATCTGTGGAGCAGCCACTGTGTGCCGGGCATTGTGCGAAGTACTAGAGACACACAGAAGTGACACAGCTCTGCCTCCACCCACCCTGCAAAGCTTAAGGGAGGGCAGGGGGTGCGTGGGTGTGGGAGGAGGGAGCTGGAGCTGCAGGCAAAGGTAACACAACCTGTAAAGCACCTGGCTCAGACTAGGGGCCTGGGAAGCTTCCCGGAGACAGGAGCACCCTAACCAGTCCTGAAGGCTGAGCTAGAGTTTGTCCAAATATGTTCGCCCTCCTCCCTCTTGCCTCCCCCCAAACTCCAGATACACACAAATGTCATTTGGGAGAAGGAAACACCCCCACCCCCTTCCTAAGTTCTAGAAGGTGTATGCCTTAGAATAATTCATTAAGCTATGCATTTGTTTGTGTGGTTTTCTGTAACTGTGCTTTATTTTACAATAAAATAAAAAGATTTCTCTGAATATGCTGTT